CGCCTCGCCCCTGGGGCCAGGAACAGCCTGGAGTGGGAGGGAGATGTTAGTAAAAGTAACTAAACCAAGTCGGTTCATGAAAAGCTCACAGCTGCTCGGAAGGGAAGGACTGACACGACTCGGGTTCCCCGAGGTGAGGGTGGCAGTTTTTTTTAGGAGACACTAAACAGCGTGAACTTTTGAAGAGGCTGTCAAGCAATTTTTCCTCGAAGCAAGAAACATCCAGTATTGGGAATGCGAATATTTTAACTTTGATGTTTCCAGCCTCCAGGAGAGAGAGCAAGAAGGGGCTGGGGTAAGCTCAGGTCAGATTAGGCCCTGGCCATGAGGGTGAAAAACTCAGCCTCCAACTTCACACCTTCTACACCAGGATTCCAGGGCCGACCTGGGACCAAGCTAAGACACCTTCACACAGGTGTTCTGGGGGTCTCTGCTCTCCCTCTCCCAATCCAGATGTGCTTTGTAATGAATCTCACATGCTGCGGTGAGAGGCAGCCCATGGTCCCAGAACCCAGAGGTCTGAGCCCCTGGGCAGATAGGCCAAGGCTCCCAGTTAGACCAAACTTGGCCACACTTCCTGAGCCTGTGGCTCTACCTGGGATGCCGGGATGCAGAGCTCTCTCAGTCTTTCCAATTCTGAGCTGTTGCTGGATTAGAAATACTCCCATGAATATTTTCCCACCTTTCTAAGATGTACCTTAAAATTTTGGAATTCAAACTGAGATTTACATAACTAGGGAGCCTGGGGAAGACGGAGAATCAAACTAATGGCAGAGGCAGCAGGCTTCCTGTAGCAGATTTTCGGAATCGGGAGTTGTGTGTGTGTCACTGTGTGTAAGGCAGTCAGGCACCCATTGTTCTGCGAAGGATGTCATGGAACCTTCCTGGACCGTCAGCCCTCCCCACTGCACCACACCCGCACCCCCATTTCTCTCAATGCATGGATCCCCTCCCTGTGGGAGGAGCTGGGCAAATTTGCAAGAGAGTGCATGAACCTCTAAGTATAAGAAGTGAGACCTCAAGCTTTTCTCTTCAATGCTGCGGGTGCTTCTCTGGAAACCGGGGTGTTGCAACCTGAGTTCATTTGCAGGAAGGACATCCAGGGTCCAGAGGCTAAGTCCTCAGAGGAAGGGGCTGTTTGGCCTGCTGCCCGAAGTTCAGCACCACAGTCTCGTGGCCACAAAAGGGCTGATTCCAGCCCAGCGTGGTGCTTGGGCTTTGGGAAACACAGCGAAGCATGTGAGTATGAACTAAAAATGCTGGGCCCTCGGTGTCCAGGACACATGTCCACTGCAGCCAGTGCAGATGAAAGAACCCACAGAGATGGGACCACAGCAGGACAGGAGCACCCGCCAGGCCTGCAGGGGGAGGAGCGTCGGGGAGGGGGAGTGTGGCTTTCAGCAACCTTGGGGGCCTCATCACACCTTCCCCCGCTTCTCCACTTGGCCATTGAAAACAGGACTGACCCTTTTAACCTGGAACCCTTGGCTCTTGTATCATTTGGAGGAGAGATGGGCCTGGAGAGGGACAGACTTATTGCTGCTCGGAACAAGTGGGGGCTAGAGGCGTGATGTCAGGAATGAGATGTGCCCAGCCATGTTTGTACCCCAAGCTGCGCTCACTGTCCCAGACACGTGGGAGGAGCTCCCTTCCCCTGTGATCCTCACATCTCTAAGGAATAGGTTTTCTCATGTTGCTGCTTCTCTCTCTCTCTCTCTCTCTCTCTCTCCCCTCACCCCCCCTCTTGCTCTCTCTCTCTCCCCTCACCCCCGCCTCTTGCTCTCTCTCTCTCTCTCTCACACACACACACACACACGCATACACGCATAGCTCTCAGGACACCTAAGAAGGCTTTAGTCAAAGACAGAGCACTCTGCACTGTAATTCGGGACAGCTTGCTTTTTTAACCCCTAGACACATTCCCATAGAAACAGGAGACTCACACTGTGTGTCCCACCCGGCTTTCTTCAGGGAACCCCCAAACCTCCCAAAGCAGCGGGGAAGTATTTCTAGCATGGCAAGTACAGTGAACCGATGCTGACCAGGCCCCAGCCAGTCACCAGGCTGTGGTCCTCTCGTCCTATCTCCACCTCAAGCGCAATGGGGTGGTTCTCGGAGGCCCAGGGGAAGGCTTTCCAGCGCCCTGGCTGATGCTCACTTGTAAATCTCCTCTGCTTTCTCCTTGACCTTGGACTGGTCTCCGTACTTCAGATCCTCGCAGGCTTCCCAGAACCCCAGATTCTCTCCTGCGTGGTGAGAAGTCCACGTGGATGAGGGCCGGGCAGGAAATAAGTTGGGAGAAGAAAAGAGGAAATAAAAGAAATGAGTCAGCCGGGATGGATTCCATTTCCCAGCTCGGTGAACACCTTTCCTGCCACAGAACAAGCTGTTGTATATTGCGATGCTAGACAAAACTACTCCTTGAGGAAAGGAGCCACATCTTCACTTCTACGGCCTGGGAGAACATTGCGAACTTAGTAATTGCTCAATATGTGGTCTTCGAAATAAACTAGATGGGCACCTACCATGTTGCAGCAATGCATTCACACTGTGGCGGCTTCCTTTCCTCCAACAATACACAGGCCAGCGTTCATATCACCCCCCAGAGGTTGTCATACGCTTTTTTATTCTAGAATTTGGCTGTAGCAAATATTGCTTGAATGAGTTCACACATGAAAAGGCTTATATGCATGCGTTGCTACACTACGGTTTTCTTCATAAAGACCTCCTTCCTTTGCTCCTGTTGAATGACTGTGCGTGAGTTCTTCCTCCTTTGTTTGGCTGTGCTTAGAGAACCCGTCATTTCCAGTCCCTCACCGGGCACATTCCAGGCCGTGGTTCCTACGGAGAGGCTGCTCAAGCAGCAGTGCTGAGGGACTGACCCTCAGGGAAGGTCTGGCCAGGAGCAGGACTGAACTGAGCATCACCTGAGCCAGAGGGAATTGGCCCAGAAGGAAAAGCCAGGTTCCCCCAAATCCCTCATCTCCCTCCAACTCGAAGTTCTCTAACCTGCAGCGCCCAGAGGCACCATGCATATGTTCACACGGTGGCCCCAGGTGGCAATTTTTGCCTGGGAAAATAAAGATGATCACGAGAGAGAGCGTGTGTGTGTGTGTGTGTGTGTGTGTGTGTGTGTGTGTGTAAATCGTGGAGTGTGTCACAGTGTGGGGAAACGAACAACAAAATCCTCTCCTCTCCTTTCTCAGTACAGTTGACCTTGAACAACTAAGGGGTTAGGGCGCAGACCCCCATGCAGCGGAAAATCCAAAAACTTAACTACAGATAGCCTGCTGTTTACCAGAGGCCTTACTAATAACATGAACAGTCAATGGACACATAAGTGCATATGTATCTACATATCTATTGTATGGATTCATGATACCTTTTCACAACTTTTGTCTATTTCTAGGCTGTGCAGTTCATCTGCAAGTTTTTTCAGATTGCTGTAAATCCCCCCAAGTTTTTAAATATATCTACTGAAAAAAAAAATCCACCTATAAGTGGTCTCGTGCAGTTCAAACCAGTGTTGGTCAAGGCTCAACTGTATTGTTTTAAAGCTCCTGGTGTTTCATATTAGAAAAGGCTGCACAATTCTAAACTAGCTGGCATTTGTCCCACAGCTCTGTGGAGGTCCTTCCTCTTCAGCATGAACTTTAGGGCGTTCTTTGGACCGAGATCACAGACCAGTGATGCTCTTCACTAAAATGTAATTGACCTGACAACAAATGCCATGTAAACTGTCTTGCCCACAGCAAAAGACAGTTGATTGCTTAGTAAAATTAAGCAAGCAATTATTCATGATAGCCAAAAAGTGGAAAGCACTCAAATGTCCATCAATAAAAGAATGGATGAACAAAATATGGTGCAGACTACAAGGGAATATCATTTGGCCTTAAAAAGGAAGGAGATTTCCGCCGGGTGCAGTGGCTCATGCCTGTAATCCCAGCACTTTGGGAGGCCAAGGTGGGTGGATCATGAGGTCAGGAGTTCAAGACCAGCCTGACCAACATGGTGAAACCCTGTCTCTACTAAAAATACAAAAATTAGCTGGGCATGGTGGC